TGTATATATATATATATATACACACGCACACACACACACACTCTCTCTCTCTCTCACACACACACACACACACACACACACATATATATATAGTGTGTTTCTATGTTTGTGTGATCGTATTTTAGTAGGTATTGACAACGACTATCGGTATACGTGTACGAACAACAAAATTATGTCTGAAGGTTGCTTTATTTCTGAGAAAATAAGTGGATAAAAAATGGTCTTGACTTCGAAATCGAACACATATGGTACTCATAGAAATATGAAGGTTCATACCTTACTCTGCTGTATGGTTGCCAAAAGAAACGCCTTATCGACGTTAGGCACGACTGTATCCCTCATGTTTTTATTATCTTATGAAGGTGCAATCCGAATGGGTATATTTTTGGCGAGAGGCCTATTTAAAAGTGTATATATTGTATATAGTATCTTTGATCCCATTACTACGGCAAATATAGTGTATGTATAGAAATTTCACGTGCAGATACGTCATTGTAAAATATTAAAATTTTGAAGGCGACTTGGATTTTAGGTCTTTTGGATCTGAAGTCCCAGAAATTCAGAGAATAATTGAGCCTTATACAACCCAAAAAACAAAATGTGCGATTTGATGTGTATTTGAAATTGGCAAATTTATGACTAAATATTTTCCAAGGAAACCTCATTACGTTTTAGCTCGGACGTATAAAAGTCAATACTTTAAACGCTTAATTTGATTCTGTCTGATTTAATTTATAGTAAGGATGCACTGTTTCGGTACTTAGGTGCAATATACAAAGGATTGTCTTTGATATACTCCGATTGACTTCATATTAGGTGATACCATTGCTATCCCACTAAATATTGAATCCGTAAAAACGTCCTCTTTTAAATGTCAAAACTTTACACGTTTATATTCAACGTATATGCTGAACTACCAAAGCACAATTGATTATTCTTTTTATGTACTGTATTTAAATATTTTGGCACAGTGAACATAAATATTGTGGTCACTGGACGCTGTCTCCAATAAATAAACAATGGGAACTCACGAGTATCACGCCAGCTATATATTTGTGAAATACAAGGAAGCGCAGGAGATGGTTGGATGTAGGACTCAGTTAAGCAGTAATACCTAGAGGTGAGAGTACCAAAGCCGAGTGTATGCTCAGGTACAGGGAGAATGAGTGGATTCTTTAATTTAGACTGAAATTGAACCCAGGTTATATACTCAGTTAGGAACGCGTGTGATCTAATCAATTCGCAACTTTCAGGTTGAATTCAATAACGGGCACTATGTTCCACGTCAGGAGTTCGATAGCAATTGGGTGGCCAACACCTGTGGTTAGCGAGAGGTATATAATATCGCAAATTCACACCCTCGTACACAACTGCCGCACAACAGCAAGATGTAGTAACAGTGGAACTCACCCCCGACAGGCTGTGTCCGTGCAAGTCAAAGCATTTGTGCACACACACATCCAAGACAGAAATGCTTTACATAGTAGAACAACAATGGCACACACACGCACATTTCAGACGAGTCAGAACACACCAAACAAGATCACGGATAAGCTCGGTGAAGCCGGCCGTAAGCTGATTGGAATATTATTCCCACCTCCGCCAAAGTCTGTGCCCAGTCGAATGCTGCGACGTAGTGCGGAACGTTTGGCAGCCAGAGACAAAGCACCAAGGACAGACAAGGCGTTCACGGACTACCAAAAGCTGAAACAAAGTGACACACAAGCACAGACACAGACGCAGTCACAATCACAGACACACTATAGCAAACCAATCATAGCTTATTCGAAAGAGATGCAAACGTATGAGAGTGGTATTGTGAACAGGGCTGAGGGCCGAGTCAGGAGGACGGGGAGATATGTGTCCGGAACACCTTTGGTGAGATTTGCAGCGAGCTTTGATGATGTAAGAAGGAACTATCTGGAAGAGCAGTTATTGGCTGCGTCAAGTAGTAGGGTGTGTCTGGACCATTTTGTGGACAATTGGAACGAGTACTATGGAGATAATTTAGCCACTGTATTAGATAAGTGCGCGCAGGATTACTTAGACGCCGAGAACGCCCCGGCTACCCCAATGATAGACAGACCCCATGTAGTCACCGGTAGTGCTGCTGAGAATGCAGCTGCCGCAACGAACGACCTTCAGATCCGTCCCAAAGCACCTACAGCCCAGGAGTTGGCATTAGAAGCGCTACAGAAACACAGCGCCTGGCCGATACTGCTGAAGCGTGTGTCGCAGAAGGTCGACGACTGTAGTGTCACCTCGTTTCAAGTGATTATCCAGTCACTGTGTGCGCTTGACACGGATCCGGGTGAGGCTGTACAGACCGCTATAATGCGGCGTATAGATACGGGTTCAACGCCCACCGAGCTGTCGAATGTGCTGTACCAGATACTGGCGAGGGGGTCAGGTGTGTTATGCTTCGTATTCGTGCTTGCTTATCAATTTACATCTACGTTATGTGTCTGAACAACCGTGTGGTCGTATGGCGTTCTAGACAGTCAGATATTGAAGTTGCAGTGGCCGTTTTTTGGCCAAGGTCCTGGATTGCATAGTTTATGACCCGGGATTGTATCAGTAATAGACTATGCAACTTGAGTGTATAACCCTGTCGTCTGTACCAAGTGATGCCCTCGGGCTCAGCCACGGCTTGCCATAGACGCAGCGCAGATGTGCGGATCCATAGAGTTTAGATCCATAAATGCCATCGCTCTGTATATGTATGCGTCCATAAGGATCGGTTTAGGGTTTGTTTCGATTGCTTGTATATATCACGTTTGATTTTTGCATGTGCGAATGAATAGATGCAGGTGCTAACTCGTTGTCTAGCCGTTGCTATTCTAATTGGATGAAACTGCGTCGCCAGACGAGCATATCTATGTTCACGTAGAAATACAATTACGTATCAATATACACATAGTCGTTCATTTCTGTGTAGTATGTCTACAGTTCACAATTCTATAGGTTCCAAAAAAAAGTAGTATTGGTCACTGATGGAAGAAACATCTCTCGTGTATGCCCAGGATTCAGGATTTCCATTCTACACATTTCATGCTCTATAGCTCGTTGTGTAGCATTGCCCTTGATGTGTTGTAGTAGATTATAATCGGTAAGTAGTTAAGTATCATCTGCAGCACGTGGTATGGAGTCTGCATCAATCTTGATGAATGAGACGACGCAAAAATTGTTCAAATGTGCTTAATACGCCGTACTTTCAACCCTAGTACGTCTCGATGTGCTGTATATGCGATGTCAAGTACATACAAATGTGCGCACAGTGTCTGAAAACTTGTTCGATTCGTACTTAAGCAGGGGATCTAGGACTCGTCGAGGAATTTGCTTCGTACCTGAAGCAATCGCCGCGAATGGTCCAGGATATGTCTTCTGTAGATGTGGATATACTATGCCACTGTGTGTGGATGCTGCAAACCCAAGACGTCCCGGCAGAAAGCTTTTACAACGCATTCTTCATGCACATGGATCATATGATTGCGCTCCGCAAGTCCTTAGACCACTTGACGACAGACTCCATCTGGCAGCTTGCTGCGACAATCAATGGCAGGAGCAGGTGAGGATTAAGTTGAAATGGCACAGTAGTGGGCACTTGACATGGAGATACCCTCATGCCTTGTAGAGTTGGGCAGTTGTATCAGAGCATTTCATTGTATGTGAGTTACGCTGATGAGAATGCGGTGTCTATCAGCGCTGTTATTTCTGAGCACCAGGCTTCAGACATCACACTGTAGTTGGTCGGTAACCCACTCCAATATACAGAGCCCTGATACACAACCACATGCAAATAAGCACATCCATGTATACATGAGTAATATACATATATATATCCATCGATAGTGAGCATTCTCTCATTTCTACTATCTCTCCCGCTTCTTTCCATTTGAACAGAAAACGCCGCACTAAAAACGACGTTTGGTTTATAAACTACATCGCTCGCGCGAGCCGCGAGCGTCTCCACGAACTATCCGGCTCGGGCATTATAGCCCTAGCAGAGCTGGTTTACAATCAAGGACGTATAGACTTTGCTCGCACAGGCCAAGCAAAGGACACAACCAAGAGTGTTAAAGCTAGGCGGTTGGGCTTCAAAGCACTCAGTACCAATTGCAGCGCTTTTGTTGTTGATGCTATCCATGAATGCGCCACCAGAGGGGCACAGGCTATATCGGTTGTTGATCTGAAGACGACCCTCTCCGTGCTACGCTTGGCGCCCTATTGTGTGGCTAACATCAAGAACGAATCCCTTGCACTGCTCAGTACGGCCTCGCAAAAGTATGTACACGGAGTGTCTCGCCTGTGTATGCATTTTGCTTGACCCAGATGGTGCGTGGTGGGATCACACTCGCTTGGGTCGGCGTCAGTGTCCTACCCTTTATGTCGGAGAGGGTCTTTTTTGGAGCGCACAAATAGACAAGTTGTTTGACTTTGTTGCTCACCAGCATACAAAATGCGAGCCTTCGCGACGTGAGTGCACATACACCGCCGCATGACTTGTTGTATCCAGATTGATAACAGTCATGCTTCTGAGTAGAGGTGATTTATCTTCTCCACTTATCAACCGTTCTGTACTTTTCGTTCATGCAGAGATTTGACTCTGTGCTCGGCTAAGGAGATAGTTGATGTAGTCAATGGGTATGTGGGGATAGAACAGGCATTTAACCAAAGCGCATCCTGTCTCCAATTGTACCAAAAAGTGGGCCAAGAGGTTATGGACCGTATAAATGGGAGGACAGCTGGTGAGAACACCTTCGGCACAGCCGGTCAGAGTGTGAATGATATAGCGATCCGAGATGCAAACGCATCTATCTTAAGTGATATATCAATGCTCGTGGGTGTCTTGCATGCGTATGCACGCGCCGGCTATGTCTTGTCCCCGTTGTTCGCCCAGTCTATCCCGATCATCAACAGTTCTTTGGATGTGATTAAACCCATCGAGGCTATGCATGCGTTATATGCATTCGCGTCTGCAAGGTCGCTCACCCCCGAGTTGGCAACAGCCTTATTGAGGAAGGCCCCGATTGACAGCCTCAGTCCAACACCCTCTACTGCCCACTCACACTCGCACAAAACCACAAAACCACCTGCTCAGAATGCAGTTGATATGCGCTCGACCAATCAAAGTGCACGAAAAATCAATATTCCAATGTACGAGGCCTTGTCTGATGCAGCGTGGGGTGTATCAGTAACAAGTAAATGCCGAGAACAACCTGTGTTGGAGGAGTGGGTCACGCGTTGCCTAGCAATCCTTGCCGATGGTGATGTTAGCGTGCAAAGGAAGAGGGTTCAAGCACCCGCGTACCGAAGAGTGCTTCAGACCTACATGGCCCTAGATCCATCGAATACTGGTGGGAATAACCAGGTAGGAATTTTTACAGGAGAAGGTACTCAATCGCAAAGACGGCTGAGGGAGTATGCAGAGCAACGGACTCTCGAGTACGAAAGTAACCAGGTTTCGGATAAGCAGACTGTGGTGGGAGATCTGTCCGAAGCACTGGAAAGTTTAGGTGTGACACACAAGGTGGGTAAGTTATACCAGCATAGTCTACGCGGAGACAACAAAGGAGTGGGGATGGAGAATTCTATTGATAGTACAGGCGCTGCGAGCAAAAAAGGATCGGAAGAGGCGACAGCCACTAAATCCGATATCAGCAAATGCGACGCGGGTCTCCTGATAGACTGTATAATACCCGGAAAACAGATAGCATTCCAAGTGATCACAGACTGTGAGTGTGTGCTCGCAGAGACAGGTCGTGGAAATGAGGGCATCGATACCCGAGGACTTGACGAAAACGGTATACGTATTCTGAGGTTAGAGACCGAGATGTCTCTGCAGGTGATTGAAAAGAGTGGTTGGACAGTGATGCCTTTGTTCACTTCGGATTGGCGTGGCCTGCGGTCGAAGAAGGAAAAAGCTGTACTGGTGGCGCATCTGCTGGGAAAAGATAGGGGCGGCTCTACTGGACTTGCATGATTAGATTATAGCTTCGTCCCGTCTACAGTGTAGCCGGCGTATGGCTTCCGCGTGATTGTGATGTCGTGGTTTCTGATCGCGGCATAGCAATATGAGAAGAAGCAGCAGATCTTGTGTACACACGCTATTGCGCTAGTATCCTGCTACGCGGGAATAATCAAAGTAGTGTTTTTTCGTGTGCAAGAATGGTGCTTATCAAGAAGTGCATGTACCCAACGGCAAGGAAGACAATCTGCACGCTTACTCGAGTGGCGTATATGTATGCAGCAGTCCTCTGCTTTGGAAGATGGTGCGGTATCCTTTTGCGACAACCTGACAATAGTTACGTTGCTGGCATATATCACTTTCAATCTTTAAGCATGTTTACACTTCTCACACTTCTCTTGGGCAACGTGTGACACCCCCTTACGTACTGAGAAGTCTTTTGCCATTGAGCAAAGGTGTGTAAATTTGCAAATATGGTATAGTTGGAAACCTAGTTCGACGAATCATGAAGTACAGTCGTTACTACGTTCACAGGAGGCCATTAAAGCACAATTGTAGCAAGGTGTCAGCTTGTGTTGATGTGTGGACGTATCGACTTCAAATCGGATTTTTAAAAGCAAAAAAGAAAGGCGGAAACTCGATTGCGATGTGGCCCTGTGGTGTCAGCCATGGCCTTGACATTAGAGCTGGTTATGTAGTTTACAATTTTGTTAGTGAATCTATGGATATCCGTATGATGAAACACGTTCAATTGTAAAATATGCAGATTTTATTCGAAGGATGATTCACAGTCCAAGTCTATTTGGGTGATAATTGTAGTCTGCGTTGGTTCGCGTTGATTCTATGCAATCGAGTTTGAGCTCGGCGAGAGTTGGCTGGTTTTACCTCCCTCTACTATCACGTATATAGTGATAGCTGCATTAAGCACAACATGTGTGTTTTGTGTCCCCACAATGCCCGCATCTGACCCACAACACCGTATGATCCTTGCCGTCCTTCCGTCACGATTAATGCTATTCTAAGCGAGTGTTAACTGCCTCGCCAGAAGATCGTGGAATTCTGCAATATTCAACATGGAGCGTTGCTCATTAGTGGCATTGAAAGTTCCACTTGTTTGCCACTGCTTTCAAGCCGCTACGCCATCGCCAATTGTTGACATTCACCATCTGAGAGAACAAGCGTTGCATGACCGTCACGCACAGCTCATAGAACCTGTGCGAACACCGTTCTGCTAATTTGTTTTTGGCTAATCGGCTTTGTTTCGAATGCACCGTTGCGTATTAAGCGTTTTTGAGATTAACTATTATATTCTACGCCTCCTAGAGTGCTTTTTCGTCGTTGACTGCTGCATTGTGGTCTCCGTGAACCCTATATTTTGAAGTTATTCGTACTGGTGTTGCTGATCACCACACTTTACTACCCGACGACCGACGTTTCATTTTGTACTTGGGCTTCTTCATTTTCAACGTATGCAACAAGTTTACGACGTGAGGCGGCTCGTACACGTTGTAGAAAGCTGTTTCTTGTACATCACTGAAGCTCACCCGTCTATCGTATCCCTGGCACGAATTCTGTTGCGAACTCTGAGATGATTGGCTAGGATCGAAATCAGAATAAGATGATTTACTGTCGACGGTGACCGCTTCGGGGTACATAGTGGCTAATGATAGGTTGTTAGACGCGTATACTATTGAAGTCGACATTATGAGCTATGACAGTATCAGGTCAAACTGACCCATATATATATTTTTCTATATGTACACAACTCTAGTGACTATGTGACACTACGTACATACTGTACTACATACTGACTAGAGTACTGACCACAGTCGACATGACTCAAAGTCAACACTCAACACTCAACAGTCCACAAGAGAGTATTCAAGATTGATAAACAATATTGAATAAAACTATTGGACTGATTTTTACTCTGTGACTCTGTGAGAGTCTGTGACCCAGTGACTCTGCGTGTTTCTGACTCTCTGTCTCAGTCTGGGTCACTGTCTGCTGTGACTCGGATCATGATGTCTATGATTTACTGATTTTGTGATATATTTATTATTTTCAGGTGATTTTAAGGGGCTGTGGGGGGCTGGGCCGCTGGGGCCTGAGGCCTGGGGTCTGGGACTTGAGAGTCTGGGACTCTGGGAGTCCTGAACTCCTGGGACTGGGGTCGGGGGGCCGGGCGGCCGGGGGCGGGGAGTCGGGACTGGGGAGAGCCGACTGCCGAGTGGTGACTGGGGACTGGGAACTCACTTGTGTCAGTGGGGACTAGGGAGTGTATGTTTCATATATATATATATTTCTAGAAACCAAATATTTTATATATAAAAAACAAATAACCTATCAATTGTGCTAACAAATGAAAATAGTCGATTAAATACCGATTTCTCATTGGTTGGTACTGCGGCGATATACCGATGAGATTAGATCAGAAGAACGGTATTTCAGAGAGCTAAACTGCACAGGGGGCACCCGGCACACTCACAGGCGGTACAGCCCACAGGGCACAGGGGGCCCACGCCCCACCGCTCACGGCCACCCTCCACAGGGCACAGGGCACAGGCCACAGGCCACAGCACAGTATCAGGCCATCAGCACCAGATCAGCACACACAACTGAATTTGTGAATAACTTTAAAAGCGATACAATGCGGCATAGCCCTCTAAATATAATTAAGTACACATACAGGGAAACACTCAATTTGACTCAATCAGAGCAAACACAGACAATCTATTGTTCTATTAGTATTTAATACACAATAATAAATACCTTCCTCACTCTCCACTCTCTCTCCTAGTAGATAGTAGAGTAGACTGTGGGGTGTACATTTAGTACAACTGTACATCAGGTTATTTTGCTATGTATACAGCTGTACATCAGGTCTATTTTGGTATGTATTTTAAAAATATATATAACTTTTTACACATGTGCAATGTTGCTTTTGAAAAAAGGCAAGCACAATAACTTAGTATTATTCCAAATGTCCAATTGACTTTGTTACATAGTTTTCTAAAAATAGATAAATATTTCTTGACTATGAAATTGTTGTAAAAAAGAAAAGGCAAAAAGGCACAAAGCTTTTACTAAATAAAAGTTCCCTAAATACAATAAATCCTGTTTGATTTCAGAAGGCTATGAAAGAGGCAAGAAATAGAGGCCAAACTGTAAAAGTTGCATTTTGCCACAAGCCCCAAAATTCTCTAAATAAAAAAATCGGATATTTTTTTAACAAAACAAATATTGTTTTTCTATATATAAAATAAAATAAAATGCGGCTAACGCCTAAGCCCTAATATTTATATATATCACTCTAGTTATAGCAGTAGTAAATACTAAATACCGCTGGAAAATCCTACGAATCGTAGTGGAATAAGTGAATAGCAAATATGTAGCAGATTTATCGAAAACCTTGAACTTCAGAAAGATTGGTGCAATTTAAAATAAATAAATATAGATCAATGAATTTATTATAAAAAGCAAACAAGAAACCATGTATCTGGGTCTGTCTCTCTGAGACTCTGGGCCACTGGGCACAGGGCGTGGGGCCGGGCCACCGGGGGCAGCGGGGCGGGGGTCGCGGGGCCGTTTAAATTTCACTCATTAAACGTTGAACGTATATCACCAAAGTTCGGCCCATTATATTTGAAAGGGATCAAATTTTAGGTCAAGCATGTCGACAAGTTTTGTCCTTATTCATACTCGCTATGGAACTATACAGCAATATGTGGCTAAAAATATATCATTAATTATCTAGATCGCGCTGATCGATTTTTTAGGCAATATACGTTCCCACTTTTTTAGTTGAACCAATAAACGTTATTCGTTGAACGTATAAACCCCTGTGGCGGAACGTTATTATAAGGTTAAATAGCTACGAATGTAGGAGTCCAGGACTCCATGGGTTTAGGGCTCAGCTGCCTCAGCAGGGCCAGGAAGTCATTTTGTTTTGATTTTATTATTATTACATACTTACATAGTTCTTTGAACTCGAGACACTGTATACTGGAGAGGGGAGACTTTGAAACTTTGAGACAACTCCTTTGTTGAGCGTGAGAGCGTTGAGGACTTGAAGGCGGCCAATGCAAAGAGCTGTGACTCCTGTGAGCAGCACAATCACCACAAGAATTCCTGGTCTACCGTGAGCCGTCTGACCAAGTCCATTAGATTTAGTCCACAACCCCCACAATTTACACGTGTTGAGACTCTCACATACGAAGATTACTGAGTAATGACACAGCCCTGGTGGTTTACCATAGATCACCATTTTTAAGAGTTGTGGTCGGTTACTATTTATTCACTGATCACTATCCCCTGTAGAAATCAACTGTTTGTGATAGTGGGGAATAGGGTAGGGTAACAGTGTAGGGTAATTGGGTATGACCTCACAGCTTTACACAACAAGTCACAGTAACTTGACAGGAGCTTAGCTACATGTTTTGCTTGCTCCGTTTGTCACACTTGTTTGGATCGTGGTTTGTCAATTCGTCATCCTTCTTCCGTGTTGTCTGGTCTGTCAGTAACTATTAGAACTGTGGCCATCCTCAATACCATATTCAGTAATCGGAGTCTATGATCATGTCATTCGCAACGAAACGAAGGTTGCGATGTCTGATTTTCGCAACTGACCATATCCATCATATCTATGGCAACGAGAAGAAGAGTAATTTATTATCTTGATTTCCGTACATTAATGCTGACATACGTACACACACACACACACACACACACACACACACACACACACACACACACACACACACACACACACACACACACACACAC